CACACACACACACAACACATTGATTAAGTAACAAGACGAGAAAATGGTTAAAATCCACTTTAAGGTAAACTTGATCTCTGACTGTCTTTACCCCTTTCGCTGTTGATTGTCGAAATAGGAAACTTATTCAGGGTAATTGGGAATAAAATTGAACTTCTTTTTGAAAATTTCTCGAGTGCTTCCATTAACCATATTCTCCTCCGGTTTTAGGTTCCATTCATGAAAATACTACAACATTTTGATCCAATCATCATCTTTTATTTTCCTCGATGCTCGAACCATCACTTGGCCGTGCATCTTATGTGGACTATCATCAGGATTTTGCTTATTGATGCAGAAACTTGTCTTTGCAAATATATTATTTTATTATCATGTTATGGTTTGTGTGATGTTATTATGAGTACTGAGTGAGAAGCTGTTTGAAGGTTGTCTTCTTCTGTAATACTGGTTATTAGTCGGCATGCAACTCGAGTCCTTAACAAGTTTTTGACAGAGGCATAGGCAGATGCCATAGGGAATTTCAGCACCTGAAACTAATCGTTACATGAAATGAATTTAATGTCATTCATCAGTCGATTGCAATGCGCATTAACAGATAAATGGAAGTAGCAATATGCTAATTATTGCTTCTAGTTTTATTGTCCATCCTTAATAGCATGTTTAGAACAGATCTATATGATGCTGAGAGCAAATGATTCTCGGGAAGCAAAGATGAAACAGGCTATTCGTGGATGGATGCAAGACTGACCTGCTTGCAAGCATTATTTTTTGCAGCTTCACTAGAACGTATCTGCTTATGATAAACTATAGAATGTTTTCGTTCTTAGCTTGTATTGGCTTTGTCTGTCTGAAGACATCCATTATTTTCATTTGAATAAATTTGAGAGGTGATCGAATTTAAATGAATTAAATTGTTGATTTTTCTATCTGTTTTTCTGTATCTTTCTATGCCGGAAGAAGATGCTATAAATTGCATTTTTCCATCAAATTGAAATCAGTTCTGAGAATGTTGGGATGTGTTTTCCGGCTTGAAATTGTTACAAGTAATATGTTTTTGAATTTAAAAAAAATATATGTATGTATCTCCTGTGTATGTCATTGTTTGCTTCGCAAATTTGATCCTTCCCACGGGCCACCTGGACCGCCGGCGAGGTCAAACCCGTTGACCATGGGTCTGGGCCCGGCTCGAATTTCAACCGGCCGGTCCAGGCCCTTGTTTTATGTCAATCCTGGCCCGACGGGGCGGATCGTGTCCGGTCATGCACAGAAGAAACGCATTGTTATTCATTTTTTCCTCTATTTGGGCGAGTCCAGACCTGGACCCGGCCCGGCACGACCTAGGTCCGTGCCGGTTCAGGGTCCATGAAACCCACTCCGTCTGCCCGTCGGGCTGGGCCCGGGCCTGTCCCGTGTTTTGACCATGTCTACCTTCCACATTATATGTGAACTAGTACATATACAAAAATATTAAAGTTTTTTATTGTAAAACTATATTTTTTATCATAATAGTTAAACACATGTATATAATTTTAGAATTTCGATGTCAAATTATATTTGTTTTTTAACTTGCAATTTTAGAATTTGGATAATTAATTAATTACTTTTATTAGATTGATAGCATACAAATTAAATTTTAAACAAATATCATTTTTTTTAAAATAATATCATATTATTTTATTTTTGAAACGAGTAATATGTGACTATTAGAGAGAGATTGAGAAATAAATTAATATGATTGACTTATGTGAAGGTATATCATAAAAGAATAAAAATTAAATGAAAATAAAAATATTATGGTAACTATGGAAGAATATATGGAATTAAATAAATAATAATTGTTTCACTAAAGGAAAATGTCTAATGTATTATAGAAATAACGATGCCTAATTGGCATTTGACAATTAACATGACACTTTATAACAACTGGGATCTCGAAATATGCGAATCTGTCACTTAGAGCATCCACAATGCTTTGGGTCTAATTTTATATATGTGGAATATAAATAGACTTAAGTCCTAAATGACATGGACAAACCCAAATAAAAAAACTCAAAAGCTATTCAATGCAAAAATAAAATACTAAGTCTAGCATACATGACAACCAATAAAAATGCTCTAAGACCATCCTTATTCCCAACCCAACCCAACCCAACCTAATAATTAAAAATTATTTCTCTTCCCTCCACATACACAACTCAATCTCCAACATTATTTATATTTATCCCCAACCCAACTCAACCTACATATTTATTTTATTTTGATTTATTTAGAAATTTCAAATGTGTTCTAAAATATATCAAGTGTGATCTCTATTTGTAGAGAATAAAAAAATATGAATTTTAATATTTTTTTATTTTTTTTAGAAATCAAAAAAATACATTTATCCAATAAAAATAAGACAGGTGTCCCATTTTTCCTCACAATACAAGTCGCGACCCAGGTCACAATTAACCTGATGACCCTTTCCATTTTTTTATTATTATTATTATTTTTTTTGTTTTATTGCCGTGAGTCCGTGACCCATGGAATGGGTCACGGATAAAGTCAGTCTAATATATTTCATTTATTAAAAGAAAAATTAAATGAGAAATAAATGATGAGTGCTTGGGTTTGCACTTGAGTCTAAAATAGACCCAAGTGTGGACTAGGTCTCTTTTTTTATTTGCCACATAAGCTAGACTAGGTCCACTTTTAATTGCATTGGGAAACATTTTTTTTATAGACTAGGTCTATTTCCTACATGGCATGTAATATTTTTCTAAGAGACCCAAAGCATTGTGGGTGCTCTTAATCTCAGCACATTCGAGAATTCATATAGGCGGATTATCTACTCAGACATATTTTATATCTTTAATAATAACACATACTATTTGGAAAATGACTACAGTCCAGTTACGGAATGATTCTATCAATGTGTTTTAACCATGTATTATCTATCCTACACTTATCTACATATGTATCTAACGTCTAATAATAACCACAGGCTCATTCCGTGATGGACTTTACTTCTTGGACTGTTATTTATATATTTATTTACTTATTTACTTTTCCTAGGATAGTAGATCTTGAATTAGGGATATGACCTTTAGAACTATCAAGTATGTGATCTCACGTCGGCTATGGAGTCATTGAAGACACGACTTACGAAACTATCTACAACTTTTCACAGATAGTGTATTGACATGTGTTCTACAGTAAATACACTTTGGACATGTGTCGGTACACCCAGCGGCGGATCCAAAAATTTTAATGAGCCACGGCAAAAATTGTTGAAATTGTTTTAACAATATTGCACAAAGTACTTATATTAATAATAAAAAAAATCGTTTGTAGTAAGTTAAAAAATGTACCAAAAATATTATACAAATTTTTTTCCTTCTTTTTTGTAGTAAGTTATAACAAATCGTTTTGAGATATAATTTATTATTTTCAGAAAGGACTAAATGTCATCATTTTTGTTCATGTTATTTTATGAAGAGTTTATTATGGATTATCTTCTTATATATAAATGTAGAGTTTTTTCCACTGTAACTTCCACTGCTTTGCAATTCTATATGTAATATCTTAAGATTCGAAATAATCCATATAAATATTGATCTTTATCCAAAACTTTCAAATTTAATCACTTAAGTCACTTAAATAGTAAATATACTTTAAAAGTTAATAATACTCATATATGTTATCATTTTTTATATGTGATAATTAAATTAGTCATATTTCGACAATTTATAATTTGACATTCATATTGTATATATAAATTAAAATAATTATGTCTATATGATCTCTATCAATAAAAAATTAATATTTATCAATTATAATTAAAAAATAATAAATTTAACTATCAAGCTTATTATATGGTCTAAGTACTAAAAATATTGTAATATAATATTGTCATATCTGACAAGTGAGGTATATCATTTCAAATTAAAATAATAATATTATTTGGTAAGAATTGTTTAAAATTTTAAAATAAAAACTTGTATCTATATAAATATTACATATAAATTCTTAATTAACATATATTAACTATATGAATTGTATAGTTAGCACATAAAATCCACCCTAGGCAATTGCCTAAGCTGGACCATATGTAGATCCGTTTCGGAGTACACCGACTTATGAAACCATCCACAATTATTCAGAAAAATTGTGTATTGACATGTGTCCTGCAATAAATTATTAATAACATATATTCTAGAAATTATGATACCAATAAGTCATTGTCTATGTGTCATGTAAATTATAAGATCTGAAAAAAAAAATCAAAATATTTATATTATATGTTATCATGATTTATAATGATAAACCAACGAGTCATCTGTCGAACAACGATTTAAATTGTTAGCTTGAAAAAAAATACTTATAATACAGAATTTTATAAATTATAATGATAAATCAGCAGGTATTGACTAACCATGGGGATTATTAGATTTAAAAAAAAAATATAACACACAATATAAAGAAATAAAATACTTTTGTTAAATACGTAACTAAAAATTTAATAAATTTAAAATAATATATAATATATTATTATTGAATTAAGTGTCAGTTTATAATATTTACTATAATTTGGCTTTACCACTATTTATTTAAGAATTGAAATAATATATTATAATAAAATATGATTAAGGAAAAGAGAGAAAAATATTTTTGTGAGTATCGTTTATTGATAATTTTTATATGTTCAATTTTCATGTTCCTTTGTGCTTGTGTTTGTGTGGTTTAGGTTTGTGTTTTTTGTCTGGGCCGTTGGCCCCTGTGAGCCCGTCTGCGTTCGGGTGTTTTCTCGTTTGGGGCCGTTCCACATTACCTCGTTTGGGGTCGTTCCACATCGCCTCGCTGAGGTTGTTTTTATTTTGTCAGTTTAGTTGGTTCTTGTGTTGGTGTTTGAGTCGTTTTCCTTCTAGCCTTGCTAGCGATTCTAGGCGGACCTTGGTCTAGCCTCCAAGTTTGTATTTTCGCACTTTTGTGCGCTTATCTATAGTACATCTATCGTTCCGGAAAAAAAAAAAAACTTTAAATGGTAATTATTTTATAAAAATACACATATAAGCTTAGAAATAAAATTAAATATATTTATGACATATAATGATATATTATAACATAAAGACCTCTGACAGGCTGGATTCAGCTTGATCTCGTGCTCCTCGTCGATTGAACGCCTTTGGACATGAAAAACTCTCGCACCGGAGAGATTTTCCGGTGAAGATGCATCAATGCTTAAGTTAGCATTTGTAGAAGATGAAGTGCAATACATAAGGTATGTAGATAATGTAATGTGATAATGGGCATATCTCACTCCCTTATATAAGGAGGTGATACTTGTTGCCCAAGATTGCCCGAGTGGGCTGCTAGATAGTACTGCCCGATATGCCCAATATTGTTAGATTTACGTGGCCCTATTCATGTATGACTCTTATCTCTTTAAGATTATGTCTTATCTCTTAGTTTTTTGTATTAGAATGTTTAATGGGTGGTGCGACCATCTCAAGGTCGGTTGAGGTAGAATGTTGCCTGCTTTGAGCGGAAGTGTTGTCTTTTTTGGTGGATCACATGACCAACTATTTCTACAAGTCTAGTATTCATCATGCCATCCGAGGGCTCTAGCTCGACATGTCGTTATCCCTTTGAACCTCTCTCGCTCCTTTCGATCTGAAAACTTCTCGTCGACGATCCTCCCTGCTGCTCTGCTTTA